CCACCAGGGAAGCCCTACATTCTTTATTTCATATGATATCTTTGAAATCTGGTGTGTATTTTACACTTACAGTACATCTCAATTTAGGCACATTTAAAGGCAGCACAGCTCTAGAAAGCAGGGATTAAATATTAACACCAGATCCAAACCATATATTATACATATTTGCACATTATTTTGTATACATTTTAAAGAAAAGCAAAGCTTAAAATTGTGTTTTAGGATTTAAAATATTTTTGGCCAACCTCTCTTGGAACTTCTGTGGAAAGAGAAAATGATGGTGATTATCTCAAAACCTCCAATTTTTTGTTTGCAATCAGACTTTTGTTATTTTGTTATCATTTATTTTTCGTAATTACCTTAAACACATTTACTATTCTTGGCAAACATAAACAAACCAAGAATGACATTTAAATGTGTAATAAAACAATTTGCACAAGAGCCCTTATCCCCTTAGGTTGAACTGTAGGAAAACACAGTTGCAGAACATGTTACTTGTTTAGGCAAATGTTTCTCACTAGAGCTCTATTGTCATTTTGGGTGGAACATTCCTACCAGTTGCAGGATATACAAAAACCCTAGCCCTGGCTATGAAATTTTAGTACCATCCTTAGTCATGGTAACAAAATAAAAATTGCCCCCATGCAGCCACAACCCCCGGTAGAAAGGACACCAACCTCCCAGTTGAGAAGCACTGCTTAAGACTTTTGTTAAAATCTGATCAGTTAACAAAGCACCTGCGGTTGAGAATATTCTGTAAAAGAAACGAATTATAATATCAACCTAAGAAAAAAATCCCTATATATCAAAGTTACTTGGATCTACAAGAGAGATTTTATATATATATATATATATATATATATATATATATATATATATATATAATTAAAGCTAATACTACCTTGCTAGATGTCTTACATGTCTGAATTTGAATTTTCTCTCCTCTGAGAGGGGTCTTATATTATTCTACTTCCACATTCCCACATTTGTTCCCTCTTCTGCACTATCTTATCTTAAATTTATACCTGAATTAATTGTATTTTTTCTTTGTATTAATAGTCAAATCATGGATATATTTTGAATTATTTGGAATGACTGTAGAGGATTTTTTCCCCTTTATTCTTAACAAAAGAACATGCTTCTCAATTAAAACTTAGGAGAATATAGGTTGAGATGCAGTATGTAGAGTTATTTGGATAATAATTGTCATTAAGCGGGAATTCCCTGGTGGTCTAGTGGTTAGGACTTGGCTATTTCCTTGCCGTGGCCTGGGATTGATCCCTCCCTGGTGGGGGAATTGAGATCCCACAAGCTGCGAGGTGGCGCGGTAAAAAAAATATTGCAATGAAGTAAATATACATCATCTTCATGATGGCTGATCTCATTTACCCCTTATAAACAGGTTTCTCCACAATAGAACGCAGTTACTCCTCGGCATTAACAGCTACAAGTTGTATGTTAAAGCACCCAGGAGAAGCAATATAGTCAGTGACTACCATAATGATTGAGATGTATGATGATATCAGTAATTATTTTTAGTATAGATATCTTTTGGATACAACAATCATCACTAATATGATCATGTATCTTTAAAATTTTATATATGTATGTATGTATACTAATCGAATCTGTTGTGAGCATAAATATTAATTGGTACTCTAGAGCAACTGTTGGCAAACTATGGTCAGTAGGCCAAATCCAGCCTGCCACCTGTTTTTGTAAATAAAGTTCTATTAGAACACAGACATTCTCATTCACTTACATTTATCTATGACTGCTTCTGTGCGGCAACAGGAGTTAAATAGTAGTGGTGATAGAGAGACTGTATCACCGACAGAGTCTAAAATATTTACTGTCTCTTTAGAGAAAGAGTTTGTTGACCCCTGCTGCAGATTGTAAGCTAAAGGTCAGCGAAAAACCTACACAAATGATTTTTCTTTTCTTATGGCTAGAATGAATTTTATGGAATGAGATCAAGGAGCTGTTAGTTGTCTTGGGCCAAGGTCTCTTCCTTATAGAGGAGCATTTAGGACTGGAAATCTTGACACTGTCTCATGTCAGAGGTGAGAAAACCTGGTGAAGTTCATTTTAATGAGATTTAAGAAGTAGCTTTTCTAGAGAATTTTCAGGTGAATCTAATCTTTCTAATTGGTGTCTGAAACATTCTTTATTAGATTGCAGGGAATCTAATAAAGCTTCACGGGAAATAACTGAAAGGTTTGTGGGAATAATATTGTCTAAATAAGAGTCTGCAGTTTAAAAAAAATGTAATTCATCATGTTAAGTTGCTCTTTGGCACAATGCAATTGTAAGAACATCTTTTTGTCCTTAGAACATGTTTTCGCCTAGATTGGAATCTAGAAGTCTTTGGTATGCTTTGCTTTATGTTTGCATTTTTGTCATGGCATTTCTTTTTTTTTAATCTTGTTTATGCTATCGATAGTATAGTCATTTTCTTTTTACTCTCTTCTCTCCAACACATTTTCTACCAGAATTGTACCACGGAAAATGAAAAAGGTAGGTAGAGCACAGAAAGATATCAATGTTAGTTCTTAACTTTATTTTTTTGTCTACTGTTGTCTACAGTTGTCTGATAATGTTAAGGTAAATCGGAAAAATCTTCCCCATTTTTGTGGGAGCATGAATTTCTAGCCAGATAAAATCCATTCTAGTTTGCCTTTGGTGAAATTATACTTCATAACAAGGGAAGAAATGTAGCCAGACCAAACCTTTATACTAGAAAAGTATGGCTATATTATTTTCTGTGTGTCCTCTTGGACCACAACTGTCATTTAGTCAGCCTTGCCTGTGGAGTTAGAGCAGGGGCTTGAGTGAGACCAAGGATTTATGACACAAAAAGCAGCAGGAGAATTTTTGTCACAAGCCCATAGCTACTGCACAGTATTTATGAAGACAACATATAATCAAGTATTTCAGCATTTTAAGGAATCCCTGTACAAACTCTCACTAGACCCTTTAATCACCTGTACAATATTGTGATTCTGCTCAAATGCTTCACTTTCAGGGCAGGGGAAACTCAAAAGATTCCTGTGGGAGCCCATGCCATTATTTGTGCAGCCTTAGTTATGAACAAAACTGTTGTAATGACTTTAAAGCTGCTTCTCTTTTAACTTTCACTACTTAGTTCCGTTCTCTGAAGCTACGAAAAAAGTCTGACTCTTCCTTCACAGATGAACCCCCCACATTTTGGAAATATTGTGTTCCAACGAGTCTCTGCTTTTCCAGGATCATCTTCCCTAGAACCTCTCAATTTCCCCTCATTTCACATTTAACCATCTTACTTTCAACCCTTATTTCATAAGTTCGTCAACGTTCCTCATGAAAAATGACTCCAGACCAGTGCACAGAACCACTGCCGCTGAGAAGGAAAAAATATTCTTGTCCAAATTTTGGGGAAGCAGTCAGAGTCATTTAAATTCAAAGCTAAACCTTTAATAAGAAAGAAAAAAGATTTCAAGGAAGCAATTAACAGGCTATGCAGAGATTTATCTTGTTAGGGCCACGAGCCGCGCCTCCGAGGCTCGCTGCTCGCGCCAGCAAGCCAAGTAGTAACTGAAAGGTCGTCGTACGGGGAACTACTCGGGTAAAGTGCCATTCTTTTATTTGTACTGTTACCCTGATCCAGCCGACCTCACGTTGCATTAATCTTCATTTGCAATTAAAGTCTCCCACTTTTTTCCGCTGAGACAGATTAAGATGTACACTTCGGTCCAATCCAATGGGAAGGAAGCTGTCCACGGCCACTTCCGGGTCACTTCCGGGTCGAGGCGCCTCCAGCGCCCAATCGGGAGTTAGGGGCGGGGCTGCGTCTGCGCGCTGCCGGAACGCCGGGGCCAGGTTTTGCACACTTTCGCTCTCAAGTCCGTGAGAGTTTGCTCACGCTGGTCCGGAGTCGGGAGACTGAGTTTGGTGTCGCAGAAGAACTCTGGCTTTAGGCAGGTAAGTCCCACGGTTGTCTTCCACCTCATTGCCTGCGTTCACAGTGGAACGGGAATGGCTGTAGTAGGATTCACCTGTGTTCTCATATTTTCTCCTGATCCTCTGAAACCTTGAGTTCTGAGGGCGAGCCTGGAGGGGTGGGGCAGCTTTGGTTACCGTGACAACTGCAAGACACCAGTTTAGGCTTTGAGAATTTGGGAAGGGAGAGCTTCTTCTGGAATGACTCCTTAAAATGTGAGTCGGGTTCAAACTAAAGTGTTATTTCAAACCCGTGCTCGTAACCACAGAATTTGATTTTTTTTTTTTTTGCGGTACGCAGGCCTTTCACTGTTGTGGCTTCTCCCGTTGCGGAGCACAGGCTCCGGACGCGCAGGCTCAGTGGCCATGGCTCACGGGCCCAGCCGCTCCGTGGCATGTGGGATCTTCCCGGACCGGGGCACGAGCCCGCGTCCCCTGCATCGGTAGGCGGACTCTCAACCACTGCGCCACCAGGGAAGGCCCAGAATTTGATTTTGAAAGGTTTATTCGGGTTGTGATGTGGAGAAGCCAAATTTGAGGCAGGGTAAATAGTTAGAAAGCTAATGTAGCAATCCAGACACAGTTTGAAGGTGTCCCGAGCTAGGGGAGTGTTGTAGAGTTGCGGGGCAGAGAGACGATAGGAGAAATACTAGTACTAGCAGGACCTAATAATCAATTGGATATGTGGAAGGAGGGAGAGGGGTCCTGAACATCTGAACGGTTAAGTCCAAACTCAGCTTGGCACAAGGCTGCTTTTGTAGATTCTTTTCCCGCCATCAGCCTTCCGCCCCCCTCCTCCACGCACACCCCAAACTCTGTACATGCCAAGTGTGTTTGATGTTCTAGTTACCGGAATATTGTCCTCACCTTTTTGTGACACTGAGCCAGGTTACATAGTTTCACTGAGCCCTTCAGTTTTTTTCAGCATGAAAATGGAAGAAAGTAATACCACTTACCTCCGGATTTCTGTAAGGATTAAATTAGATACTTTGTAGCCCTGGTGTATAGAAAGGGCCCAATAAATGTTAACTACTACTGTTATTATTTGTCACATTGTTTTATTATACATTATTTTGATGTTTCTTCCCCTAGATGACTTTTTTTTTAACTTAAAAGGTTAGTATCTTATCTATCTTTGTATCTTCTTGAAATATAGTAGTAGTTGCAATTGTCTTTTTTTTTAAATGGGTCATTGATTTTGGCTGCTGCTGACATAATTAAATTCATTTCTTACTTTAAAGGAACTACCAGGTACAATTAATTTTGTTGATAAAAGATGGCTGTCTTTCTGTATAACTGAGAAGCCTGTGGATTAAGATGTACAAAAAGTAACTGATATTCTCAGTCTGGAATAGGTATGAGTGATTTCAGTGAAGAATTGATAAGGCCCACAACAGAGGATGAACAGGGGGAACCGTGTGTGCCCTCTGGTACAGGAATGTGTCTTCCTTGGCTCCAAAAGCATATAGAAACCATAGGTAAGTAAAGTAACATATAACCATTTCAGCTCTAATGCAAGGAGATGATAAGATTCAATATGGGTACAAAAATGGATAACCAAGCTGGGTCAACTTTCAAAATAAGAATGTATGAGGATTTTTTTTTAGGCTGTTAATAAAAAAGAAATAATAAAAATAGATTCTTTTTTTCTTTTAGAATTCTTTTCCTTTGAATTAATAACAGTCTGTATTATGGTAGATACACTTTTTTTCCCCCCAGTAATACTTACTGAGCATTTATTATATCCCTGGCATTGGTTAAATATTGGGGATACATAGTTGAAGAAGATATGATCTCTACCACTGAGGAGTACATACCAGAAGTTTCTGTTGAATTGCACTGAAATAAGCCCTAATAGAATTGATCTATAATAGATTTCAAGAAAGGAGTATTTTCTTCTATTTTCATCTAATGTAGAAATAAACAAGTTTTTCTATGGAATAAATTCCTTATCAGAATATATAAAAGAAGCAGTTGTCTGTATGTTGGCATGTTGGGCCGTGTAGTCCTGGGAATACATTTGAACCAGCACTTTTCTAATTGCCCACAAATATATCTTTCTTAGCCTGGCTTTCTTTCCCCTTGACTGAGATTCCCTGGCTGCTAGAGTTTACCTCTTATTTCTTTATTTTTTAATCTAAATATCATCTCACTTAATTATCTCAGTAAATTAATCCTCAGTAAATTTATGTGCTAGGCATTTTAGAGGTGACGGAACTGAACTTCAGAAGAAGTTAAAATTCTTAATGTGAGTATCAGGAGTCAAATCCAGGCCTATCTGATCTCAAACCCTACATTGAGATACATATATCGAAAAAAGGGATAACATATGTAAAGTGCCTAGCATAGAGCCTCATGCATAGTGAGTGTTGAAAAAATAATAGTTTACTTCCCCTTTCCTCATTTTATTTTTGCTGAATTAATGTACATGGTTTGAGCCAGGTTTGAATGAATGGTACTTTAGAGGGGATGCTACCACACCCCTTGTAGGGAACTAGTAATCTAAAGTTTCTGCTAGTTTTAAGGCATACCTGGGCATGTGTCTGTCACCAGTGTTCTATAGAGAGCTTGAGTCAGTCCACAAACAAGTAGGTTTAAGACCAGAATTTACATGCTTAGACATGTTTCATATATTACAGATAGCCTGTTAAACCCCAAATACTTTCTGTCTGCAATGAGAATATAGTTGCAGGTAATATTGACATTGTAGTGGTAATTAACCATAACCGGAAAACACAATTGCCTAACAATTATTTATATTTTATTCTCTTAAATTTCTTTTGGCGTTTTGAAGGGTGTGTCCCCTAGAATAAAAACTTGGAAGGTGGGCACCAGTCTGGAATAAAGCTGTATGTTGAGCACTTAGAATAGTGCTTGGCTATGGTAGTGCTCAAAAAACATTCGTTGACAGGCTGACAAGTTTCCAGGTTATTTCAAGGAAATTAGAAATTAGGTTGATGGCACTGGTTCTTTATTGTACCTCATTCCATCAAATTTATTTTCCTTGACAGTTATTCTTAAAGTTTATCAGCAACAAATAAGATTATCTTTTGCTCACAAAGGGTGAAATGAGAGCTACTCCTGAGGTAATTAGGCTCAGTTGGAAGACAGGAGGGGAATTTTCCAAGCATTTATATATCCTAGTCTAAAGTTGATTTCCAGTTTGAGCTGTGAAATCTTGAGAGGTAGAAGGGAGTCTGGCCTGAGATCAGTTTTCCTTTAGGTGAATAACCGAGGTTTTAGGGAAGAGGTATTTTGTCACTTTCTTGGCCTAGCTGCCTGGTGTTGCTGCTGATACTGGGAGTTTGGGTGTAGATCCTGTTAAATGCAGCTTCTAATTCAGAGAGGTGTGTAGGACATAGTATTCTGCATTTCTAATAAGCTCCCTGGGGATACTAAGACTACATCAGGATCCCCAGGTGATTTGTATGTACATTTAAAAAGCTTGAAAAGCACTGGTCAAGAGAAATAGTCTTTGGGACTTCCCTGGTGGTCCAGCCATTAAGACTCTGTGCTCCCAATGCAGGGGGCCCTGGTTTGATCCCTGGTCAGGGAATTAGATCCTGCATGCGGCAACTAAAAGATCCGGCACACCGCAACTGAAGATCCCGCGTGCTGCAATGAAGATGCCGCATGCCGCTGCTAAGACCTGGTACAGCCAAATAAATATTTAAGGGGGAAAAAAAAAGAGAGAGAGAGAAATAGTATTCTACTTTTTTTTCCCCTGAAGAATTAGGTACTATCTTGTACAGTTTTAAGGTGCCATCTAAAACTTGTATCATAAGTTTGAGAGTTGCAAAAGGCATAATTTTCGGCATATATTGGCACTTTTAAATGAAATTATCATGTGACTTAAAAAAATAATTTGGTGGAATCTAAATAATATAGGGAGGTGATACCTTTATCATCCATTTAGTATTTATGAAAAAGCTTTTAATAGAAATTTTATATTGTTCCTTTTTCTTTTATACTTTTATTCTTGCCATAAAGTATGTGTCTGCATTTAATTAATTTTTGCTAATATCCTGTAAGGTTTTAAGTATTAAAATCTCTTCTGGATTGAGAAATCATTGTAATTGATTTTTGTACCCACCTAATCAAAATAACATAAGTAGTGTTACAATTTTTGTTAAGTATTAAAGGTAAATTTTTATTGCTTATTTGTCTCAATAAAATGGGTAAGGTTATCACTTTTTTCCAGTTCTTATATGTTTGGTTGGATATTACGTATTCCTAGAATGAGAAAAGATTTAGCTTCAATTCTACCGTATTTTGTTTTAATTGGTGGAAATTCTGAGGAAGTTTAGTCACATAAGTAACTAGCTGGCAATGAATGGAGTTTAATTATAGCAATGTATCAGGTCTTTGGATTCCTTCTGAATTATTTATGAAAAAATCACAGTGATCTAAAATAAAAAATTATTAGGTTCTCCTACAGTTTTGATAAGCAAAGAATTAAAAATCACCTGACTTGCAAATGGATGTGTTAGAGTCGTTCACTTTCTCAACACTCAACACCTGTATTTTCACCTTAAGGCAAAATATGATGATTTTGATCATGAAGCCTTGTGTATAGGCACAGTTTCCTAGGAGATCAGTTTTAGGAAAGAGTATGTGAGAAAGTTGAAGATCTGCAAATTGATTGCTGTAAAACTATCTTTGCATGGTACTTATTAGTCTCTGTGTACTCCCAGGGGTGAGGGTACCCCAAATGGAAGACTGATGGCCTGTACGCGTCTTCAGTAGTGTGGGAAGAGAAGAGGTGGCAACATGCCACCTGTTACTCATAACCAGGGTTGTAACTAAGCACAAATATTCTTAACAAGAGGATTCCCAGTACTTCAGAGATATAAATGCCAATGTCTACAGTTATTATAATCTCATTTGCATTTACATCATTGAGTTACTGGGAACTCAGTCCTTAAAAAATAAAAGTGCACCTCTTGGTGTTTTCAGAACATAGGTAGGTAAAAAAGACCATACTTTCCTAGGATGACCCTGATGATTTTTACCCATTCTAAATACTTGGGACTGTGCTTTTGGGGCCCTCTTTAAGAGATTCTTCCCAGATTGTTTAGTGCAAGGATGAAAGGACAATTGAATCAGATTTGAAGGATCTGGTGATCCCGGTAGCCCAAGAATGTCAAATTAGACATCTTCTAATTAGACATTTTTTTCATTTGCGAAAACTAGTTAAAATGGGTGGAAGAGTTTGTTTCAAATGGAACCAGCTTTGGAATTGGGGATGGGTTGGGTTAAGTAATACCTACTGCTCTACTTGTTAAAACTATGCTTATCAGAAATGTTTCTTGAATTGTTGATTTGGGGTCACTGTGGGTCAAGACTCTCCTCTTTAACCTTGATAGCGACTGGAGGAAGACAGGAGAAGGATTTTGCTCAGACAACAAGTGCTTGTTTAAGTCTTATCCAAGAAGCTCTGCTGAAGCACCAGTGGCAGCGAGCTGCAGAATACATGCACAGTTACCTTCAGATCTTGGAAGATTCAGATAGCAACAAGAGACAGGTTGCACCGGAGGTAAGTAAGGTCTGAGTCTGCTGGAAGATAGGACAGAGTCCTGGGAGTTTCTGCCTTTTGAACTCCACCCAGAATAGCTTTTGCTATTGATTGATTTTACTAAAAGCTACTAAAAGTGGTTTTGGGTAGAGAGTTTGTATGAGGACATTTTTTTGCACACTTCTTTCTCCTATTATCATTTTAAAGGAGACAAAAATAATGTTAAATCTGAATTCTCAGATTCCCCAATACTCATTCATTTAAATAATTCTTTCCCTGTGTCCTTATTTTCCCCTTTCTGTAGGATGTTCCCCATCTTCAAACAAACATGTTGTTATTTCTCCCATTTAGCATCATCTCTTGACCCCTACTTCTTCCACAGGCTGTGCCCCATTTCTCCATTCTGCCTTTCAGCAAAACTCCTTGAGGGAGTTGTGTGTACCTGTCCATTCCAAACCCTTTCCAGTTAGACTACCCACCAGCCATCACCATTTCCACCAAGTTGCTTTGTCAAGGTCAACAGTGATCTCCATGTTGCTGAATCCAGTGGCAGATTCTCAGTGCTCATCTAACTTGATCTGTCAGCAATATTAAACATAGTAGATCATTCCCTCCTGTGTGACATAGCTTCCTTGTCCGGCTTCCAGGACGCGGTACTCTCAGTTTTTTCTCCTACCTCACTGGCCATTCGTCGGTCTCCTTTTCCTTTGCTTTCTGACATGGGACTACCCAAGAACTCTAACCCTTAGTTGTTATCGTTATCTGAACTCACTCTTGATGATCTCATTCAGTTTCATAGCCTTACATTCAGTCTGCATGCTGGCGATCTCCAGTTGTGTATCTGGGGTCCTGACGTCTCTCTTCAAGTCCAGATTTCTGTATCCAGCTGTCTACTCAACGTCACCTCTTGATGTCTAATATCAGCTTGTATGGTATGTCATATCATAGTAACAGATCTAAACTAGCTCTTCTGATATTCCCTGTCCAGCCTAATTTTCCTCATCTCAGATGACATTTCCTTTATGTATCTAATTGCGAGGGCCAAACTCTGGGGTGTTTTTTCTTTTATACCCCATATCCAAACCATCAGAAAACGCTGTTAGCTCTACTTTGAAAGCACGCTCCCTGCATTCTGAGTACTTCTCACCTCCTCCGTTGCTGCGCCTGGACTCAAGTCCCTCTCACCTCACTTAGATGACTTCTTGCCCTCCCCCACCCCCGCAGTCTATTTTAAGCATAACCAGACTGACCCTTTTTTAAAAAAAAACTGGTTTTATTGAGATATATTAACACACCATACAACTCGCCCATTTAAATTGAACAGTTCAGTTCAGTTGCACAGAGATGTGCAACCATTATGGCAATCTAAATTTAGAATAGTTTCGTCTTGTCCAGACGATACCCTGTACCCACTTGTAGTTGCTCCTTTCCAACCCCCAGCCCCTGGCAACCACTTATCTACTTTATATTCTGGACATTTCATATAAATGGAATCATATAACATATGGCTTTTTGTGAATGAATTCTTTCACTGAACATAATGTTTTCAAGCCTTCCCATATTGTAGCATATTAGTACATCATTTCTTTTTATTGCAAAATAATATTCCAATGTATGGCTCTATCTCATTTTATGTATCGATTCATCAGTTTTTAGACATTTGGGTAGTTTCCACTTTTGGTTACTATGAATAATGCTGCTTTGAACATTTATGTACAAGATTTTTTTTTTTATGTACAAGTTTTTGTATGGATGTTTGTTGTAATTTCTCTTGGGTGTGTACCTAGGAGTGGCATTGCGGGGGCATAAAATACATGTAACCTCTTAAGGAACCACTAGACTGTTTTCCAGAGTGACTGCACCATTTTACGTTCCCACCAGCCATATACGAGGGTCCCAACATCCCTACATCCTCGCCAACTGTATTATTGTCTGTCTTCTTGATTTTAGCCATCCTAGTGTTTCTAAAGTGGTATCTCATTGTAGCTTTGGTTGGCATTTTCCTAATGATTAATGATGCAGCATAGTCCTATTTTTTTTTTTTTTTTTTTTTTGCGGTATGCGGGCCTCTCACTGTTTTGGCCTCTCCCGTTGCGGAGCACAGGCTCCGGACACACAGGCTCAGCGGTCATGGCTCATGGGCCCAGCCGCTCCGCGGCATGTGGGATCTTCCCGGACCGGGGCACGAACCCGTGTCCCCTGCATCGGCAGGCGGACTCAACCACTGCGCCACCGGGGAAGCCCAGCATAGTCCTTTTAAAACATAAGTCAAATCATGTCACTCTTCTGCTGAAAACACTGCAGTGTCTTCCCATTTCACTTAGAGTAAGAGCCAGAGTCCTTCTGATTGCCTGCAAGTTCTCCGTGCTCTGCCCACTCCCTTTCCCCCTTTGACCTCATCTCCTATTACTGTCCAACTTGCTTTTCCTTCTCCAACCTCACTGGCCTCCTTGCTCTTCTTGAACAACCATACTCCTTCCTGATTGCCTTTGCCTTTGCTATTTCTTTTACTTAGGAAGGTCTTTCTTCAGATATCACTATGGTCACCCTCCTTCAAGTCACACCTTCAGTGGGCCCTACCTTGACTATTTAAAATTGCAACTGGGGCTTCCCTGGTGGCGCAGTAGTTAAGAATCCGCCTGCCAGTGCTGGGGACACGGGTTCAAGTCCTGGTCCGGGAAGATCCCACATGCCGTGGAGCAAGCCCATGTGCCACAACTACTGAGCCTGCGCTCCAGAGCCCGCGAGCCACAACTACTGAAACCCGCGTGCCTAGAGCCCGTGCTCCGCAGCAAGAGAAGCCACCGCAATGAGAATCCTGTGCACCGCAACAAAGAGAGCCACCGCTCACTGCAACTAGAGAAAGCCTGTGCGCAGGAATGAAGACCCAACGCAGCCAAAAATAAATAAATAAATAAATAAATAAAATAAAATTGCAACTGCACACCAACCCCCTTCACTTTCCAACTGGCACTCCTGATCCCTTTATCCTGCTTCATTCTTTTCCCATAATACTTGCCAATTTAATTATTATATTTCTTGGTTATTGTCAGTCTCTCTACAATAGAGTGTAAATTCCACAAGGGCAAGGATCTAGAACAGTGCCTGGCATATATTGTTAAATTTATTCTGTAAAAGACAGTTTATCCACAAATAACTTCACATGAATATCTCAAGTAGCTTTTACTATTACAGTAACCATTGCATCAGTTAGATATTTAATAGAGCCAAAAAATATTAAAGAAAAAATTTAACCATTGATTGAAAGTTTAGTAATGGACTAAAGTTATATAGATCTGTAAAACATTGGGCAAGTTACAGTCTCTTTTGGTCCAGAGTTTGTTTTACAAAATGAAAGGATTAAATCAGTGGTTTCCAGACACTTGTTTGGGCTCTGTTTAAATCACATAGGGCTTTTGTTTAAAATATAGATTCCTGTGCTGCACTCCAGTTCTACTGAACTGAAGTCTGAATCCCTAGAATATTTATTTTTAAGTGGTGTCCCAGGTAATTCTTACATACAACAAGGTTTAAGAACCACTGTGATAGGATAATCTCCACATTTTCTTTAAGCATCAAAATACTGCAATTTGGTGTTCTGTAAATGAAATCTTGGTCTTTCTGAGTTGGGAGGATGAGTATTATGATTACACAAAACAGTCAGTATGTATGTTCAGAGAAAGACTTGATTTAAAATCCACTTAACTTTACTTTGAAGTCACTATTATTGAAGTACTTTAAATTGGGGTAAGAGAATAGACCATGCAAAAGAAGAGCTCCAAGTTCTGTCACCAGAGTTTTGGTGCTCTGGGGTGAAAATATTTTTATTAAAATTTGTCCATAGCTGATGAAAATTCTTAAATTGGAGCTCTAAATATAGACTAAATATAGTCAATAGTTGTAGGTACTTGATGGGATCTCAAGAAACATCTAGTCCATAGCTCTCATTTGGTAGATAATAAAGATGAGGCTGATAGCAGTGAAGAAGCCAATATTAATAGAACCCAAGTTTTCTGACATTAATATTCTTCCTGCTATACTAGTTAAAAATGTTATTTTCAATATGTATCTCAACTGCTTACCTTCTTTAGACTACTAACTACTATAATAGTTACCTGGTATTTTCATTTAATCAGCAGAAAAGATTTTTATCCCATAAGATATAATATTAGTTTCACTGGGTAAAGTACAGTAAAATGTTGATGGTAGTGGTGTCTAGAAAAATGAACTATAGGTGGTTTTTTTTTGTTTTTTTTTTTCTTCTGTACGCGGGCCTCTCACTGTTGTGGCCTCTCCCGTTGCGGAGCACAGGCTCCGGACGTGCAGGCTCAGCGGCCATGGCTCACGGGCCCAGCCGCTCCGCGGCACGTGGGATCTTCCCAGACCGGGGCACGAACCTGTGTCCCCTGCATCGGCAGGCGGACTCTCAACCACTGCGCCACCAGGGAAGCCCTATAGGTGGTTTTTTAACGCTGTAATCAGAAAAAAATAGCTTTCTTAGATATAGGTTAAGGCAAGGATTTTACAGTTTTGTTAGTAATTTCTGTTTTGACAGATTATTTGGAGGCTTGGAAGTGAAATTCTTTATTATCATCCCAAAAGCAGTGTGGAGACTTTCAATACCTTTGCTGACCGGATGAAAAATATTGGTGTCATGAATTACTTGAAGGTGAGTATATAGGTTTTGTGAATTTACATCTGCGGCATTCATTTCTAAAAATTGCTTGTCTCGGTGATGAGGTATGTAATGTAAAAAGCATGAGAAAAGGGGTAAGACACCTGGGTCAGTAAGAGAAGCTGAAAGAAAGCAGCATCGTGAGAACCATTTACTTTTCCATTTCCTGTTGCCTACCACGTTGTCTGAAAGTATCTTCTCTTTGTGTATCCCTGGCTGCCAGAGTCAGTCCTTCAGAGATGGCAGTTGTGCTTCATTATGATGATGGGTCAAATTCTAATATGTTTACTTAAGTCAGTTGAGGTCTCTGAGAATTGATGCTTTTGGAAAAGGGAAACAGCTAAACAAATTGGGAATTTGAATACTTGAGAAAAAAATTGTTTCCAGCTTTGTTGAGATATAATTGACATATCTCATGTAAGTTTAAGGTGTAAAATGTGATGATTTGATGCATGGATATATTGCCAAATGTTTACCGTAATGAGATTAGTTAATGCCTCCATCCCCTCACAAATTACCATTTTGTTGTTGTTGTTATGGTGAGAAATGTTAAAGCTCTATCCTCATAGCAGTTTTCAAGTTAACAGTGCTATAGTCACCATGCTGTACATTAGATCCTCAAACTTACTCATCTTATGATTGAAAGTTTGTGTCCTTTGACCAACATTTCCCCATTTTCTCCACCCCTCAGCCTGTGGCAGCCAGCATTTTACTTTCTTTCTATGGGTCGGATGTTTGTAGATTCCACATAAAAGTGAGATCATACAATATTATGATTTTCTGTCTGACTTATTTCACTAAGCATAATGCCCTCAGAGCCCATCCATGTAGTCACAAATGGCACTATTTCATTCTTTTGTGTGGCTGAATAATATTTCATCGTGTGTGTGTGTGTGTGTGTGTGTGTAACATTTTCCTTATCCATTCATCCATCAATGCTCACTTAGATTGCTTCCATGTCTGGGCTTTTGTGAATAGTGCTGCAGTGAACATGGGAGTGCAGATATCTTGTCGAGATAGTGATTTCACCTTTGGATATATATGCAGAAGTGGATTGCTGACTCATATGGTAGATCTATTTTTAATTTGTTTGAGGAACCTCCATACCATTCTCCATAGTGGCTGGACCACTTTACATCCTGAAGAGAATGTACATGAGCAGTATACAAAGGTTCCTGTTTATCCACATCCTCACCAACACTTGTTATCTCTTGTCTTTTTGATGCTAGCCATTCTGACAGGTGTGAGGTGATGTCTCATTGTAGTTTTGATTTGTATTTCCCTGACAGTGATGTTGAGCACCTTTTCATGTACTTGTTGGCCATTTGTGTATCTTCTTTGGAAAAATGTCTAATTTTAATTGTAATGTGTTTTTTGTTGTGTTTGCTATTGAGTTGTATGAATTCTTTATATATTTTGGGTATTAACCCCTTATCAGATACTTGATTTGCAAATATTCTCTCCCATTCAGTAGGCTGCATTTTCATTTTGTTGATGGTTTCCTTTGCTGTGCAGAAGCTTTTTAGTTTGATGTAGTCCCACTTGTTTATTCTTGCTTTTATTGCTTGTGCTTTTGGTGTCACACCCTAAAAAATCATTGCCAAGACCAATATCAAGGAATTTTTATCTCTATTTTCTTCTAAGAGTGTTATAGTTTCAGATCTTACATTTAAGTCCTTAATCCATTTTGAGTTAATTTTTGTGAGTGGTGTAAGTTAGGGGTCCAGTTTCATTCTTTTGCTTGTAAATATCTAGTTTTCCCAACAACATTCATTGAAGAGACTGTCCTTTGCCCTTTGAGTATTCTTGGCTCCCTTGTCAAATATTAGTTGATGATATATGGATGGGTTTATTTCTGGACTCCCAGTTCTGTTCCACTTGTCTGATGTGTCTGTTTTTAATGCCAGTACCATCCTGTTTTGATTACTGTAGCTTGGTAATATAGATTGAAATCAGGAAATATGATACCTGTAGCTTTGTTCTTTCTCAAGTTTGTTTTGGCTATTCAGGGTCTTTTATGGTTCCATACAAATTGTAGGATTATTTTTTTCCATTTTTGTAAAAAATGCTATTGGTATTTTGATAGGGATTGCATTGAATCTACAGATTGCTTTAGGTAGTAAGGACATTTTCACAATATTGACTCTTCTGATCCATGTGTGAAAATGTTTCAATGTTTCTAATGTTTAGGTGGAACTTTCTCCCTTAATAAAAGCCTTATCCAAAAGAATTGACACACTCCAAAATGTTATGACATCTCCCTCTCTCTGGTATATATGAGACTAAAAGCACTTTCTCAATAAAGTTTTTAAATGCTTTGCTTTTTAATTTTTTTTCAGTGCCTCCAAACAAAGTTTTGTTGGAACATTGCCACACCCATTCATCTCCATATTGTCAGTAGCTGCTTTTAGTAGGACAATGGCAGAGTTGTGATAGAGACCATATGGCCTGCAAAGCCTAAAATATTTACCCTCTGGTTTTTTGTTTTTACTTTTCCTATTTTCCAAATATTTTTAAATTGCTGTAAAATATGTATAACATAAAATGTGGTATTCTAAACATTTTTAAGTGTGTAATTCAGTGGCATTAATTACATTCACATTGTTGTGTAACCCTCACCAGTATTTCCAAAACTTTTGCATCACCCCAAATAGAAACTCTGTACCCATTAAGCAATAACTTCTCATTCCCTCCTCCTCCCAGGCCCTGGTAACCTCCAATCTGTTTTCTGTGTCTATGCATTTGCCTATTCTAGGTATTTCATATAAGTGGAATTGTATAATATATGTCCTTTTATGTTCTGCTGTTTTGCTTAGCATAATGTTTTCAAGATTTATCCATGTGTTGGCATGTATCAGACTTTATCCCTTTCTATGGCTCAATACGATATGATATTCTGTTGTATGTATCTGTGAAATTTTGTTTATCCTTTCATCTCTTGTTTGGTTGTTTCCATCTTTTGGCTGTTGTGAATAACACTGCAGTGAACATTGGCGTGCAAGTATCTGTTTGAGTTCCTGCTTTCAATTCCTTTGGATATATACCTAGGACTAGAATTGCTGGATCATATTTTTTGTCATATATACAAATACATATATATATATATATAAAGTATGTATGAACATATAATTCTATGTTTAACTTTTTCAGGAATCACCAAAATGTTTCCCATAGTGGCTGTAGCATTTTATATTCCCACTGCTCTCTAATTTTGAAAAATGATTTTACCTAGTTTAGGATTCTTTTCAGATTTTATTAATTTAGGAAAAGTTTTTTGCTTCTCTTATGTGCCAGGTTCTCCCTTATGATCTTATTTTCTGGTAGACCACATACATTGTAAGTAGAAACTAAATGGAGGCAGCATATGGTTCTACTTTAGGAAGAATTTTGTAAGTGAACAATTGGAAAAAGGGAATGGCCTGCCTTGGTGTTGTGTGCTCCCATTTTCTTCTTTCAGGGAGAAACTGGATAGCCATTTGATTGGGGAGGGAAGGTAGAGTTTTAAGTAATGTATTGGTTAGATCCTTTTAAGCTCATAGAATCTACTCAGTTGAAGTAAAGAAACCTGAGAGGAACCTTATTTCATACTCTGGAGTCTGAGGGTGGTAGTTAGGATAGGCAATAAAACATGTTTTGCTGTTAACAATTTTAAAAACACTTGCTGCTGTTTTCCAGACAATGTGCTAACCATGGTTCTTGCAGTAGGGGGAGACAGGCATGTAAATGGAATAAATGGTTATGGGTGCCATAGTAGAAGTGTACTGTACAGTGAGAAGACAAAGTGGAAAATGGTCGGCTCTCTGGAATTTTGGAAAGGGCTGGGATTGAATGAATAGGGGAGTCGGAAAAGAAAGGAAGTGAGGCTTGAGATGAGTCTGATAAAGCTAGTGGGTATTCACAGTGCATACTGGGAGAAAGAGTAGTCTAGCATGGCAGGGGATAGTAAATAAAGAGTTTAATAGCTCTGTGTCTAATGCTTTAGTTACTCTAAAAATCATGTGGGTAGAAGCCAGGGGAAGTAAGCTGAACTCTGTGTGCCATTTCTAAGGAGCTTAGATTTTTATTCTATAGGCAATGGGAACTATTGAAGGATTTTACACAAATGACCAATGAGATTTCCTTGGCGGTCACGTGGAAGATGGATTGTAGCAGGGCAGGATTAGAGACACCAGTTGAGAAATTATTACAGTAGTTTAAGATGAAGGTTTGAACTCTGACTCTGTTCAGATGATTAACTGTACTTCCCATTATTCTCCTCCTTAATGTCCTCCCTATTTGTATTGCTCGTTCTTTGTGTAATTATTCCTTTTTTTTAAATTGCAGTATAGTTGCTGTATAATACTGTGTAAGTTACAGGTGTGCAGTATAGTGATTTACAGTTTTTAAAGCTTATACTTCATTTACAGTTATTGTAAAATATTGGCTATATTCCCTGTGTTGTACAATGTATCCTTGTAGCTTATTTTACACATATTAGTTTGTACCTCTTATTAAGATTGCCACACCTATATTGCCCCTCCCTTCTGTGTGGAATTATTCTTATTGCTTCTCCTGTATCAGGCATACACTTTCCATTTGAACCAGTGCCATTCTTCAACACCCCTTATTAAGATGTTTTCTCTGAGTTTATATAACATGTATAAAATAATTTATTGTCTGCTATGGGCTAAACTAGGTATTAGGTGGTATACAAATATATCATCTCACTTAATCCCCTTAATGCCCTTCAAAAGGTTTAATTATAATTGTTCCATAGAAAAGAGGAGACTCACAAAGGGTGAGAGTAACTTACTCAGGTTTATGTAGCTTTAAAGTAGCATTTGAGCCCGGACTCTGTCTTCAACATCCCTGTTCTTTTCACACTGCCTTCTGTTTGTAAGTTTATATAATTTAGTTCTCATTTACATAATGAAAATTTTTCATTTGTCTTTCTGCTAGATTGAAATTTTTGATAATGAGGACAATATTGCTCCATCATTTGTGTCCTGCCAAGGTCTTAGCCCGAATGTATCATATATTTACTGAGCTTTTTGACTAAGGGTTATCTAATGACCTATATGACGGTGGGCTTTTTCTTATTGTTGCAGATCTCCTTACAACATGCATTATACCTTCTGCATCATGGTATGCTTGAGGATGCGAACAGAAATCTCAGCCAGGCAGAGACATGGCGATACGGTGAAAAGTCGTCTTCTCAGGAAGTGTTAATCAACCTTATTCAGGCCTATAAAGGGCTTTTGCAGTATTATATTTGGTCTAAAAAGAAGATGGAATTGTCTCAGCTTGGTGAGTGAATATGAGTGATAAGTAGTAAGACTGACTCAGAGGGACAGAAGGGGTCTGGAGGAGTAATCTAATTCCCCTACTTCCAAGCCTGTCTTTATCCAGATAGTACAGAGAGCAGACATTTCTGTGGATGTTTAATCCTTGATCGTCCTTTATAAAATTTCTGATATTTAAAAAAACTTTTCAGACATCAGTTATGGGTGATTTATAGATTAAATTCATGACCATTTTAGATTCACTGCTTTCTTAAACATGATTTCCAAGATAGGTTACAAATTTTCTTCAGCAGGCATTATTGCATATAAGAAACATTATTTCCTCTGTTTACAGTGGAGTTTAGTTTGTTTCTTAGGAAAATACGTTTAAAAAGTAGGGCAAGATAATGTTGTTTCATTTCTGTGTAAAGGTCAGAACAGACAGTTTTCTTGATTTACTGACCACCCCAAAAATTGACTGTGTGTTCTTCTCAGTCTCACTTTCCGTGGTGATGTCATCCTCTCCTGTCCCTAAATTTCTGTTCTTTGGAGCTGTGTGATTCTCTGTACTTTTTTTCCCCTTGTATAGTTTTTCTCCATAACTCCTCTAGGATTGACCCCTTCCTTTCTATTTTCACATCCTCCATGCAAGTCTCAGTTCTGACATTTATCACGTCATTTGTGTTAAGCAGTGTTTCCTTATTGTCCTTATGTGATAGTATTTCCTTGGTCTCTGGGCATGTGGGCTACTAATCTCAAAATTCCCTTCCTGTTTCCCATCTTTTTTTTTTTTTTTTTTTTTGCGGTACGCGGGCCTCTCACTGTTGTGGCCTCTCCCGTTGCGGAGCACAGGCTCCGGACGCGCAGGCTCAGCGGCCATGGCTCACGGGCCCAGCCGCTCCGCGGCATGTGGGATCTTCCCGGACCGGGGCACGAACCCGTGTCCCCTGCATCGGCAGGAGGACTCTCAACCACTGCGCCACCAGGGAAGCCCCTGTTTCCCATCTTTGATCTCCCCCAAGACACTTCTGAAATGCTGTCTTCATCCTGATAATATTGTGAGGCCTTTGTGCATTCTCCTCCTCTAGAATGCCATCTGCCCTTCAAGACTCATTAGACCCCACCTTCTTTTACCTTAAGTCTAACGTATCAGCTGCATGTTCAGCCTATATCATTTGGCTCTTCACCTTTTGCTTTTTTGTCATTCTAAGTTTTTTCATGTGTATTTTGTGTTGTATCTCCCTGTCTAGACTCATCAGTCTTTTGAGGTCATATATCTGTCCTCTATTTCTTTTGCTAACTTTGCCATAATGCCTGCCGTAAAGGCTTGCTGATACTGATTTAGGTAAGTTTTAAAGTCAGTATTTACTTTTCTTCCTGCACTTCAAGTAGAACTCAAGCAAATGTATGATGATTAAAGCAGTTGGAATGTGGCATTTACACCATCACTCCCATGGATAGATAATTCAGTACCTTCTGCAGCTGACACTCTTCTGTAGCAACAAGAGATAAAGATGGGATAATATATGGCGCTCTTTAGATGGTCTTTAACCTCATGTGTCTGTTTAAAGAGCAAAAAAAGTTAGGACTAGTTCTGTATAACCAACTCATAAGAATGGAACATGTGAATGTATGCTCAGAGCTGGTTTGGGATTTTCCCTTGCTGCTGTGGCCTGTGCTTGTTGGTTTTGATGCACTTGGTGGCTGGGAATCCCCTTCCATGGTAAATCCATACCTAACTTGTACTTACTCAGGGATCTGCCTTTCTTTCTTAACCATTTTTTTGGATATCATTTCACACCTACTTTCCTGTTATCACTTCATTTCCAGGTTCGTATTGATATTTATTCAACTGACCCACTGGGAAGAGAATACCAATCCCTGTTTGGGTGTGGGGGCTACTTTTTTGGCCAAAAAGTAGCACTGGTACCAAAAAGTGTTTTGTGCTTCTATCAGCTGTTGCTTTCGAAAGACTGATTCTCCTTTTAAACCTTTAAGATTGTGAAATATATCCTGAAACAGTGTGTAAGACAAATGTCTGGTAGAATGGATAATTATAAAGCAAACATCCATGTAACTACACCCAGATTAAGGATCACAACATTGCTGACCCCCTAAAAGTTCCCCATGTGTGCCTAATCACACCTCCTCCCACTGTCTCAAGAAGACTGTCCTGACTTTAAGGGTAATTACTCCCTTGTTTTCTTTAAATACTTTTACCACTCAAATATGTATCTGTAATTTAGTTTTGCCTATATCTCAGTGTCATATTTCAATTCACACTGTATATATTCTTTTGGGGCCTTGCATATTTTGTTCCACATTTAACATGTGTTCACATAGTTGAATTAGCTCTAGTTTGTTCATTTTTATTGTTGTAAAACCATACATTGTATGATATTCATGCAACTTATTCCTTCTATATATTGATGGCCATTTAGGTTGTTAATAGTTTGGGGCTATTATAATTAATGCTGCTTTGAAATTCTTGGGCATGTGTAGTGATACACATATGTGTGTATTTCCAGGAGTAGAATTGTTGTCACAGAGTATGTATGTCTTCAGCTTTACTGTATAATATAGGCTGAACTCCTTCCAAAGTGGTTTCCAATTTATATTCCACTAGTAGTCTGATTTGGGCTTTCTTTTGTCTGTCTTCTCATTATTTGTTATTGTCAGAGTTTTCATGTCACCCAATTTATTGGGTGTGGTAATCTCATGGTTTTTTTAAGAACAACAGCTTTATTAAGAATTGAGATCTGATTCTTAATATGATTCAGCCACTTAAAGTATAAATTCAGTGGTTTGTGGAATATTCATAGTTGTGTATCCATTACCACAATCAATTTTAGAACACTTATCACCCCAAAAAGAAACGCTGTAGCCATTAGCAGTAACTCTTGACTCTCCCCAGTTCCTCCTGTCCTAGGCAACCACTAAACTACTTACTGTCTCTCGAGATCTGTCTATTCTGGACAGTTCATTCAAATGGAGTCCTAAAATATGTAGGACTGACTTCTTTGTTACTGACTTCTTTCACTTAGCCTTATGTTTTTAAAGGTTCACCCACATTGTAGCATGTAATGGCACTTCATTCCTTTTTATTTATTTTATTTATTAATATTCCATTGTATGGATACACCACATTTATGTATCCATTATCGGGTGATGGACATTTGGGTTGTTTTCCGCTTTTTGGCTATTTGAATAATGTTGCTGTGAACTTTTGAGGGACCTCTGGACTGTTTTCCAAAGCAGCTGTGCCATTTTCCATTCCTACCAGCAGTGTATGAGGAGGGTACTAATTTCTCCGCATCCTTCCCAACACTTGCCATTATCTGTCTTTGATATAGCTGTCCTGCTGGGTGTGAAGTAGTATCCTGTGGTTTTGATTTGCATTTCCCTAGAGGCTAATAATGTTGAGCATCTCTTCGTGTGCTTGTGGGCCATTTGTATATCTTCTTTGGAGAAATTTGCATTCAGATCCTTTCCTCGTATTTTAATTGAATTACTTATTATTTTATTATTGAGTTATAAGAGTTCTTTATATATTCTAGGTACAGGTCCCTTTTCAGATAGGTGTAGGATTTGGAAATGGTTTTTTTTCTATTCTGTGGGTTATCTTTTTTACTTTCTTAATGGTGTTTCTTGAGTCACGAAAGGTTTTAATTTTGATGAAGTTGTTTGTTTTTTCTTTTGTTGCTTGTGCTTTTGTTGTCGCATCCAGGAAGCCTTTGCCTACTCCAAGGTCACAAAGATTTAGACTTATGTTTTCTTCTGAGAGTTATATAGTTTTACAGTTGTTTTTTTTTTAATTCATTTTGAGTTAATTTTTTTGTATCACGTGAGGTAGGTAGGGGTTCAACTTTATCTTGCATGTGGGTATTCAGTTGTTCCAGCATATTTATTGAAAAGGCTATTATTTTCCCACTGAATTGTCTTGGTACCCTTATCAAAAATCAGTTGCCCATATATGAAGTTTTATTTATGACTCTAAATTTTCTTCCATTGATCTATATATATCCATACTTATGCCCGTGTCACAGTCCTAATTACTGTAGCTTTATAGTAACTTTTGAGGTCACAGTGTGAATCCTCCAAATTTGTTCTTCTTTTTAAAGATTGTTTTGGCTATTCCTGGTCCCTTGCATTTCCATTTGGATTATAGGATCAGCTTGTCAATTTATGCAAATAGACCAGCTGAGACTTTGATAAGAATTGCATTAAAGCTATAGATTAATAAATCTTCCAACCCATGAACACAGGATGTCTTTCCATTTATTTAGGTCTTCTTTAATTTCCTTGAACAATACTACTTTTCAGACTATAATTTTATGTCTCTTTTGTAAAATTCATACCTAAGTAGTTTATCATTTTTGATGCTATTGTAAATGGCATTATTTTCCTAATTTCATTTTTGGATTGTTCATTGCAAGTATATAGATATACAATTGATTATTTGTGTTGATTTTATATTATGCAACTTTCAACTCATTTATTAGTTATAATAAGTTTTTAATGTATTCGTAGGATTTTCTGTGTACAAGATCATGTCATCTGCAAGTAGAGATAGTTTTACTTCTTCCTTTCCAATCCGGACATTGTTTGTATTGTTTTCTTGTTGAATTGCCCTGCCTAGAACCTCCATTATAATGTTGAATAGAAGTTGCAAGAGAGGACATTGTCTCTTGCATGCAGCCATTCACCATCAATTCTGATATTAGTTGTGGGTTTTTCATAAGATGCCCTTTATCAGATTGAAGAACTTCCTTCTTTTCTAGATGTTCAGTGTGTTTATCATGAAAGGTTATTGAATTTTGCCAAATGCTTTTTCTGCAACAATTGAGATGGTTATGAGGTTTTTGTCATTATTCTATTGATTTGGAATATTGTATTAATTGATTTCAGATGTTAAACAACCTTGCATCCCTGGAATAGATCCCACTTTATGTGTTGCTAGACTCAGTTTGCTAGTATCTTGTTGAGAATTTTTGCGTCTATACTTATAAGAGATATTGGTCTGTAATTTTCTTGTGTTGTCTTTGTCTGGTTTTGGTATCAGGGTGATTCTGATCTCATAGATCAGTTGTAAAGTGTTTTCTCTCTGTCCTTTTTTAGGGGGAGAGTTTGTGATGAATTATTACTATACTTGAAGTGTTTGTTAGAATTCACTAGTGAAGCCATCAGGGTCTGAGCTTTTCTTGTGGGTAGTTTATTGAGTACTGATTGTGAAGAAGTCCTCAGTACTGAAAACTTTAAAAAATCTTTTCTTTGGACAGATGAGGATGATTATGCTTACAACACAGCGTCCCAGAATATGCTCAACCACAGCTGGAAGACATCTATAAACCTTTGTGCATTGATTCAAATTCCTGGAGTTTGGGACCCTTTTGTGAAGAGTTATGTAGAGGTAAGTGAACTTTTCATAAGGTTTTATTAGTTTCATTTTGTTATAAGCTTAATCTTTATTGATCAGAAAGGAACTAATGGAGAAAATTGTTTAAAAATAAGAATATGATGCTTTCTTTTGGTCTGAATAATTTTTATTTATTTTACCAATATACTGTAAACGTTACTGTGTTTATTTTCACCACTGGATAATGTGTCATGGCCAAATACAGTCATCCCTCAGTATCCATGGATGCTGAAGTCCCTTGCTTTTTGAAAGTTTCATTAGTGCTAAAGTGATAATTATGTTATCTGAAGATAATCTCTGAAACCATATGCTAGTGAATCTGGAAATTCCTGTGTCAGGATGGGAAGGAATGAAAGGAAAGGAATTATAATTCCTTATGCACTCCTTTTGTGGCTAAAGTTATGTAGGGCACTGAGGTTAGTTGCGTCGTATGGTCTTTTTTTGGTCCTAGTGTGCCCTACTTTGAAGACTTTATTTCTCATAGGAACACTTCTTATGTTGAAGTTGCTGCATTTTTCAGTAACGAAATATGATAAGGGAAAAATGGGAAACCATGTAGGCCTTTTTTATGATCTTCTGTGTTCTATGGAGGTTGTAACATATGCTGGTGGAAGCAAAAACTGGCATCACTATTGTTCCCTATATAGTAAATGCTGTTTTTCAGTTGTATGACTTTTTTTGTGCTCATCAATAAAGTTAAGTTGTACGTGATATTTCATATAGCTATCTTACAGAATTTAGCTAAGATATCATGACTTATTTTATATAGATGCTGGAATTCTATGGGGATCAAGATGGAGCCCGAGAGGTGCTTACCAATTACGCCTATGATGAAAAGTTCCCATCAAATCCAAATGCTCATATCTACTTATACAACTTTTTAAAGAGAGAGAAGGCACCAAGAGAGAAACTGATAAGTGTGCTTAAGGTAGAGAATTTTTATGTCAGTGTTTGAACAGGGTTGGGGATCTACTTTAAGACATTCTTAGGTCACTGCTTTCCAACTTTCATGTTGTAACATCCAGAGAAAATGACAGTGTATGTATGGCACCCTGAGGTAAAGACAGGAGGCTGCAGCCTCCCAGCAGACCCACCATCACTACCATTCCCCCATCTTCTGCCCAAGTGAGATGGAGGGGAGAGGATCAATATTTCAGAAACTGTTTTGTCACCCTGGTTGGAAAGTTCTGCATTGCTTTTTTTTTTAGGAAATCATCTTTATTGAAATTTAACTTACATACAATAAAACATATTTTAAATGTACACTGGGATGCATTTTTACAAATATTTGCATCCATGTAACACCATAATAATTAAGATATTGAACATTTCCATCACCCTAGAAAGTCCTGCATTTCCCTTTGCAGCCAAGCCGCCCATGTACTCTTGGCCCCAGGCAGTCACTGATCTGCTTTCTGTCACTATAGATTAGTTTTATCTCTTCTAGAATTTCATATAAATGAAATCTGACAGTATGTACTCTTTTTTTTTCTTTAGGTCTGGATTTTCTTGCTCAGTAGAATGTTTTTGAGATTTATCCATATTATTATATCAGTAATTTGTTCCTTATTACTGCTGAGTATTATTCCATTTTTATACATTCACTTCTTGATGGACATTTAGATTATTTTCACTCTTTGCCTATTATGAATACCACTGTGAACATTCATGTACAAGTTTTTGTCTGCACATATATTTTCATTTTTCTTTGGTAGTTACCTAAGAGTGGAATTGCTGGAAGGTATATGTTTAACTTAAGAAACTGCCCAACTGTTTTCTGAGGAGACTATACCATTGACATTCCCACCATCAAAGTATGAAAGTTCAGTTTCTCTTATTTGTCTTATTGATTTGGAAGTTTTTTTATATAATCTGGGTACAAGTCCTTTGTCAGCTATATGGATGGTAAATATGTTCTCCCAGTCTGTGGCTTGCCTTTTTGTTTTCTTTACAGTATCTTTGAAAGAGCAGAACTTTCTAATTTTGATTAAGTACAATTTACTTATTTTTCTTTTACAGTTAGTATTTTTTGTCTAAGAAATCTTTGCCTACTCCAAGATAATGAAGATTCTCTTCTGTGTTTTTTTTTTGTGAGAAGTGTTACAGTTTTATGTTTAGGTCTGGGACAGGTTTTGAGCTCATGTTTTTTGTGTAGTGTGAGGTAAGGGTCATTGAAAAGACTATCCTTTCCCTGTTGAATTACATTGGTAACTTGGTTGAAAGTCAATTGACCATGCATATAGACTCTATTGTGTTCTAGTGATGTGTTTTTCCATTCGTATACCAATACCGCACATCCTGACTATGGTAGCTTTACAGAGAGTCTTGGAATCATGTCATGAAAGTCATACAAATTTGTCCTTTTTCAAAATTGCTTTTAGCTTCTCTAGGTCTTTTGACTTTTCATGTACATTTTATAATCAGTTTGTCAATTGCTATAAAAATATCTTGTTGGGATTTTGAATCTGTAGATCAATTTTGAGAGAATAGACATCTTAGTAATACTGAGATTTCCGAACTGTGAACATGGTTATGTCTCTCCATTAATTTAGGTATTTTATTTCTCTCTGAAATGTTTTGTAGTTTTTAGTGTATATATTTTGTTAAATTTACCCCTGAGTGTTTCAAGTTTGGGATTGTTACTGTATATGGTATTCCTTAAATTTTTTTTTATTGTGGTAAAATATATGTAATATGAAATTTACCATTTTAACCGTTTTCAAGTGCACATTTTTTCTTTTTTTTTGAAAAAAGAAAATGCGCAATGGGGTATCTGGGATCTTAGTTCCCTGATCAGGCATGTGCAATGTGGCATCTGGGATCTTAGTTCCCTGATCAGGGATCGAACCTGTGCCCCCTGCATTGGAAGCTCGAAGTCTGAATCACTGAACCGCCAGGGAAGTCCCTCAAGTGCACATTTTAGTGGCGTTGCCATTAAGTACATGCACAATTTTGTGCAACCATCACCACTGTCCACTTCCTGAACTTTTTCATCATCACAAACAGAAACTCTGTATCCATTAAACAATACGGCTCCCCCAACCCCTAGTAATCTCTATTCTCCTTTTTTTCTTAATATATTGAAATATAATCGATTTACAGTACTGTGTTAGTTTCAGGCATACAGCAACCTCTATTCTACTTTCTGTCTCTTTATAAATTTGCTCGTTCTAGGAACCTCATCTAAGTGGAATCATATAGTATTTGTCCTTTTATGTCTTGCTTATTTCATAATGTTTTCAAGATTCATCCATCTTATAACATGTATCAGAATTTGCTTCCTTTTTAAGCCTGAATAATATTCCATTTTATATATATATATAATGGAATATTATATATTATACAAATATATTCCACATTTTATTTATCCATTCATCTCTTGGTAGACATTTGGGTTGTTTTCAGTTTTTGGCTCTTGTGGATAACTCCACTATGAGCATTGGTGTACAGTATGTGTCTGAGTCCCTGCTTTCAGTTATTTTAAGTATATACCTAGGAGTGGAATTGCTGGATCATATGATACTTCCTTGTTTAACCTTTTGAGGAACCATCAAGCTGTCTCCACAGCAGCTGTACCATTTTACATTCCCACCAGCAGTGCATGAGGGTTTAAATTTCTCCACATCCTCACCAACACTTTGTTACTTTTCTTTTTTAAGAAATTGATAATAGGTCTTCTGAGGTGTATGAAGCGGTATCTCATTTTTATTTTGATTTGCATTTTCCTGATGTTGAGCATCTTTTCATGTGCTTAGTGGTTATTTGTGTACCTTCTTTGGAGAAATGTCTGTTTACATCCTTTTTTTGAACTAGGTGTTTCAGTTTTTTGTTATTGAATTTAGGAGTTCTTTATATATTTCATGGTCAGTTTCTAATCATATTTTAGAGGAATAAGAAAAAGAAAGGTCCTTTTCAGCCTAAACAAACGACTGAGAAAAATCCTCTTCTACCAATCTTCCTTTTAAAAAGCCAATTAGCTCTAATCTGTACTTGTATAGTCATCAAAATTGACATTATCAAACCTTCAGATGTGGAAACTGTACATTTTATAAAGTTTTCAACAGGCTTTGTTTTACTGCATAATACTTAAAAAAATGTTCTTAAAGAAAATCTGGTTTATTCTTGATTCAAGGCACTTTACATTTTCTTAACAGCTTTTTTGAGATAGAATTTACATAACATAAAACTCACTGTTTTAAATGCACAATCCAATTTTTTTTAGTGTATGTACAGTGTTGTGCAACCATTATCATAATCTATTATAGAACATTTAATGACCCCCCCCCCCCAAATAAACACCATGCCCATTAGCCCACGCCCACCCTCTCCACCCAAACCCTAGGTAACCACTAATTTACTTTCTGTCTCTATAGATTTGTCTATTCTGGACATTTCATATAAATGGAGTCATACAATATGTGGCCTTTTGTGACTGGTTTCTTTCACTTAGCATATTTTTAAGTTCATCCATGTTGTAGCATGTGTCAGTACTTCACTCCTTTTTATGTCTCAGTATTATTCCACTGTATGAATATAAAACATTTGTTTATCCATTAACCAATCGATAGACATTTGGGTTGTTTTTACTTTTCAGCTATTATGAATAATACTTCTGTGAACTTTTGTGTAAAACTTTTTGTGGGACATACATTTTCAATTCTCTTGGGTATACATACCTTGAAGTTGAATCACCAGCATATGTTAACTTTATGTTTCACTTTGTGAGGAACTGCCAAGCTGCTTTGCCAAGGAGCTTCACAATTTTACATTCTCCCCAGCAATGTATGAGGGTTCTAATTACTCCACATCCTCGCTCATATTTGTTACTATATTACTATTATTATTATGGCCATCCTAGTAGATGGAAAGTAGTATCTCATTGTGGTTTTGATTTGCATTTCCTTAATGACTAATGATGTTGACCAACTTTTCATGTGCTTATGGGCTATTCGTTTATGTTCTTTGGAGAAATATTCCTTTGCCCATTTTTTAATTGGGTTGCTTATCTTTTTGTTGTTGACATGTAAGAGTTCTTTATATATATTCTGAGTACTAGACCCTTATCAGGTATATGATCTGCAACTATTTTCTATTTTCTCCCTTTTTGTGGGTTATCTTTATCTTTCTTGATAATGGGTTTTTTTTTTTGGCTGAGTGGTGCGGCTTGTGGGAGTTTAGTTCCCCCACGAGGGATTGAACCCAGGCCCTCGGCAGTGAAAGTGCTGAGTCCTAACCACTGGACTGCCAGGGAGTTCCCTTGATAGTATTCTTTGAAGCACAAAAATGATTCATTTTGATAAAGTCCAATTTACTGTTATCTAAGGTAACACATATTTACACCTAGGTTTTCTTCAGAGTTTTATAATTTTAGTTTTTACCTTTAGGTATTTGATCCATTTTGAGTTAATTTTTGTACGTGGTGTGATGTAGCGGTCTAGTTTCATTCTTTTGCCATGTGGATATCCAGTTGTCCCAGCACTGTTTGTTGAAAGGAATTTTCTTACTCCCATTGAATTGTCTTGGCACCATTGTCAAAATCAATTGATCATGGATATATATGGTTTATTTCTGGACACTGAATTCTGTTCCATTGATTTATATGTCTGTCTTAATATCAGTACCACAGTCGTACTTGCAGACTGCGTAATATACTTTTAAAGTTGCTATTTTAATTTTACTCTTCAAGATTTCTCTTTACGCATTTGTGCAAGAAAATAACTAAGGACAGTTACAACAAAAGCAAGATGCTGAACTTCACTCAGGTTGTCATTCATTAATGGTGTTCTGAAAAGACTTTAAAAAATGGAATACAAAATAACTGTATTCAACACTTATCTTCAAGACAAGGTAGATTTAGAGAAATTCTGGTTTTCCTTTTGAAAAATACAGTATTTGAAATTAACTCAATAAATGGGTTTAGATAGATTGAACATAGCAGAAGAGAGAATTAATGAACTGTGTAGAAAATCAGGCTAAAGAAGGAAGAGCAAAAAGGATAAAAAGTGCAGAAAAGAGTGTACAAAAGACTCGGTGAAAGGTCTGAGCTACTTGTAATTGGAGCCCAGGGAAAGGAGAGAGAGAACGGGGTTGAAAGGCAAGCAAACAGGCAAGACAATATTTAATGAGTCAATGGCTAAGAATTTTACAAAACTGATGAAAGACTTCCAGAGTTCTGATAGTGTTCTATCTTTTGATCTGGGTGCTGAGTATGTGAGTGTGTATAACTTGTGAAAGTTTATTGAATGGCACACTCATGATTTGTGTACCTTTCTAGTACATATGTTATATTTCAATAAAATATTTTTTAAAAATCTAAGTGAATTGAACCATATACAGAATTCCCTAAATCAAAAAAAAAAATGTGATTTTGTAAAAACTGAGTTTTAATAATACTCTCTGATATTGGTATATTGATCATGTTGATTGATCTCTAATTTAAAAACTATTAAGAGAAATTAACAAATTTACTTTTCATTTTGTGGGAAATTATTTCAGTGTAAGGTTAAATTACCTCAGCAGCAGACAGAATAAATTCATCTCTAATATTAAATGTGTTTAAGTGAGATATATACTTTCAGTCCTGTTTTTTGCATATTCATAAAAATTGTCCATCCTATTTTTAGAAAGAAAAACCTTTAACTTCTCCCTATTGTGTAAAAAGATTGTAAAAATATTTTCTTGAATACTCTTAATGTACTGTGTTCCTGAACACAATCTTCCAAAATAACTAGCCTTGCCTTTTTTGGGTTTTGTTTTGTATATTCTGTGACCTTTTGTGATCAATAAATATTAAATATCTTTCCTATGTGATATTGATTCTCTTTTTATTTTTTTTCCTCAGTCCTGGCTACTGAAAAGAAATTAAGTTTTTAAGTGTGGTAAACAGTATAAGTATAGAGAAAATAAAAAGTCTCCGTCTATCCACATCCCCCCACCCTCCCAACCAACTATCTTGTTATTAGGAGGGATTTTTTTTTTTTAATAGCTTTACATAGAGCACCTTTCTATACCAAAATTGAACTGGATAAAAACAAAGTATCTTTCGGGCTTCCCTGGTGGCGCAGTGGTTGAGAGTCTGCCTGCCGATGCAGGGGACACGGGTTTGTGCTCCGGTTCGGGAGGATCGAACTGGGAGTGCCGCGGAGTGGCTGGGCCCGTGAGCCATGGACGCTGAGCCTGTGCGTCCGGAGCCTGTGCTCCACAACGGGAGAGGCCACAACAGTGAGAGGCCCGTGTACCGCAAAAAAAAAACCAAAACAAAACAAAGTATCTCTTAAATCCTTGATTCCTTTACCAAGGGCATATTAGATAGTAAGAACTTTATTTGAAAGTAAGCTGAAATTACAGAAACGCCTTTTGAATGTGTAAAAATTACAAGATTATCCTTTCTTCCAGATTTTGTATCAGATTGTACCATCTCACAAACTGATGTTAGAATTCCATAGATTACTGAGAAAATCAGGTAAGTAGTTTGTTTTAAATCTCTTTGTGCAGACAAGCTGTAGACTGGGGCTCAGCAGACTGTGGCTATGGACCAGATCCACCTCTTGCCTGTTTTGTTTTTTTTTTTAATATTTCTTTCTTTCTTCCTTCCTTCCTTTCTTTCTTTTCTTTCTTTCTTTCTGCATTGGGTCTTCGTTGCTGCACCCGGGCCTTCTCCAGTTACGGCAAGTGGGGACTACTCTTGGTTGCAGTGTGTGGGCTTCTCATTGCGGTAGCTTCTCGTTGTGGAGCACGGGCTCTAGGTGCGCGGGCTTCAGTAGTTGTGGTACACAGGCTCTAGAGCGCAGGCTCAGTAGTTGTGGTGCACGGGTTTAGTTGCTCTGTGGCATGTGTGATCTTCCTGGAACAGGGGTAGAACCCGTGTCCCCTGCATTAGCAGGCGGATTCTTAATCACTGCACCACCAGGGAAGTTCCCTCTTGCCTGTTTCCATAAATCAAGTTCTGTTGGAGCACAGCCATGTCCATTTATTTATATACGTAAATATAAAAGCAGTCTATGGCTGCTTTTGCCCTACGACAGTAGTGTTGAGTAGTTATGACAGCCTGTAAGGCTTGCAAAACTTAGTGTCTGGCCCTTTACAGAAAAAGTGTGCTGACCTCTGCTATAGAATTTAGGCAATGGTAGCAAAAGAAAAACGGCTTCAATTTATATGATTCAGCTCATTTTAATCTTTACTGGGATTCAGCTCAGTGTAGAAAAGAACATAATTCTTCATAGGAAATCCTCTTGCTAAGTCCAGTAGGTACTGGGACTACCTCGGTTCTTCTCCTAATAGAAGAGAACGTATATAAAATGCGCAAATAGGGCCGGTACCTTAAGTAATGTTCTCAGTAGTATAAACCCATATAGAGGTCAGACTCACCACCCTGCCTTCATTAATGTGGACTAAATTATCAAATTCTTCTGATTCATCACAGGAGAGTATGATCATAATGAATTGTTTTAAACTGTTAATCAAACTAGAAGGCTTATGATTCAGTGATACTTTATCAGTGGAATATAATCTTTTAGCTTTGTGCTCTTCAGTGCTTTCTGTAAACTCTAACTGTTGTGACCATTGCAGAAAACGAAGAACACCATAAACTGGGGTTGGAGGTATTATTTGGAGTCTTAGATTTTGCTGGATGCACTAAAAATATAACTGCTTGGAGATACTTGGCAAAATATCTCAGACAGACTTTAATGGGGTAAGTAAGAAACATACAGCGTTTATTACTGGATCAACATAAATAATGTTTTATAATATTTTAGCTAATAAAGTTCTATGTTTTGGGATTTCTTGAACTGTGTCTTCAGCTGTTTTCTTCTGAGTATGTCAGAAGAACAGGAAATAGGAAGTCACAAGTAAAACATACAAAAATTCTATCCAGATTTTTTTGTGCTATCAAAATGGGTAATAGCCCTTACCACTACTCTGCTAAGAGCTAAGTTTGTGCTTTCTAATTGGAAATAGGGACCAGAAGGGGTCACCTCCACTCTTCACTAGATTCTTTGTAAAGGTGTTTGTGATTTGTGTCATCAACTTGTAAGATCACATGGGAAGCAGCTTTTCTCCCAACAGTTCTCAGTCATTTTCAGTGGGTTTTTTTAGGACCTCATAAAATCGTCACGGTTATTCATTCAGCAAATATTTATTAAGTCCCTTGTGAGCTGGGTATCTAAAGCTATCCCTCTGATCAAAATAATCATCAGTGCCACATTTTGAGTAAAAGAAAAGGAGTGGCCCTTGTCATTTTTACCTTGTGTGTGAGAGAATAAAGGATATCACAAAAGTTAAATTTCATTGATTTATTATATCCATTTTAGTTGCTTAGGAAATTCATTATCAGTGGGAACTTGCTTCAGGCTTCAGACCTGACTTGACCTTAGAACAGTCTTGATTAGGAAGTATTTTTGGTGTGATATGTTGATGTACTCACTGTAAACCACTTTCCAAATCTAAAGCACTGTACAAACCCTTACTAACCCCAAGGTTCTTGAAGGCGGAGAAATGTGCTGCTCACTTTTTAAACCTCTAGAAGTTTTGCCACAGGGGCAAATAGGTACTAAATAGGTCTTTGCTCTATTAAATTATTGAGGAATACTTAGCACTGCCTGGGTTCAACTGTCAAACCTATGTATTCCTGTGTTTGTATAATAAGGCCATCTCAATTTGGATAGTAATTCTTTGTAGCATATAATTTTAAAGTAAGGTTTTAAAGTAACTTTTAAGAAATAAATAACAGTAGCTAACATTTGTTGAAAATTTACTTTGTACCAGACAGCATGCAAAGAGCTTTATATGACACTTGCTATACTATGGACCAGTTTAATCCTAATAACAATGCTACGAGATGGACACCATTAATATCCTCAAGGAAATTGAGGCTCAGAAAGATTAAGCAATGTGCTGAAGATCGCATAGATGGTAGATGGAACATCTGGGATTTGAATCTGAGATTTTGACCTTAGAGTCTATGCTGTTAACTGCTGTGCTGTACTGAACTGGCTCTTTCATTAAGTGGAAAATGGGACGTGGAGATCAAAGAGGACAAAAAAGGATTTGCTTTCATGCGTGTGCTATGCCATGGCCATACTTGGAAGCTAGTTTGGAAACATCTTCCTTGTCATCTTTCCACAGACCCTACTTAAGTTCAGATTCTGACACTATAGGTCTGTCTCCATCACTGACCTTCCCTTTTGACACTTTTCTTTTCCAGGAGTCATCTTGCCTGGGTTCAAGAAGAGTGGAACTCCAGGAAAAACTGGTGGCCAAGCTTTCACTTCAGCTGCTTTCGGGCAAAAAGTGATTGGAAGGAAGATAAAGCTTTGGCTTGTGAGAAAGCTTTGGTAGCTGGGTTATTGTTAGGAAAAGGTACATGTTTTGTTTTCTTTTTATCTAGCCATAGCTTTCAGGTGATTTTGAAATTACAAAGTGTGACCATTCATTCATATTAGAGTTTACCTAAACAGTATCTAAGGGTATTAGATGCTGGAAAAATAACTGCTGAGTGGAAAAATGAATACTGAATTCGGGCCAGGTGATCTGCTTGTAGGGAATTTCCATGGATTAGAAACAGTGATTTCATATTGTTTTTTTTTTTTTGCGGTACATGGGCCTCATCACTGTTGTGGCTTCTCCCGTTGCGGAGAACAGGCTCCGGACACGCAGGCTGCACAGCATGTGGGATCTTCCCAGACCGGGGCACGAACCCGTGCCCCCTGCATCGGCAGGCGGACTCTTAACCACTGCGCCACCAGGGAAGCCCATGATTTCATATTGTTGATCGTCATTGGTTTTTATGCTGTAACTTGAGTATCTTTAGGGGCCATTAAGATAAAGGATGCACCGTTTTCACAGCAAATGACCATTTGGCTGTGCTGTAGAGAAAGTTTACTGAGATTATCTACTATATTAGACATAGAAAAATATTCTTTTTTGACCTCATTTTTTATGACAGCTTTACGTTCTTTATATTTACTTACCTGTTGCTGTAAGGATGAGACATTTTTTCCCCTTCAGAAAAGAAAAAAAAAATACCTCCTATTAACTTACTTAAAAGTCCTCTTAAAAGAAAGGGAAATGGGTCTTTTCTTTGGGGAATATCTTGGCTGTTAAAACCCTTACCTGCTTTGTACCACTGAAATATAGAAAGGTAGCCAGTACTGAAATGAGACTGCCACAGAACGTGTCCAGAGGTGAAGAAAGTGACCTCACAGTGGCCATGAGTAAGCACAGTGTGGCCAGGGAATTTCAGGTATCCTAAAGTGATTCTTCAGGTCGGTTTAGATATAATTTGTATTGATTTGGAATTAGTATTCTCAGTTAATGTTTCAGATGGTTACTTAGATTAGTAAAATACTGATTTTATGGGAGGAAAGGGATTAGTAAACATGAAAGTAGTTTAAAAATTTCTCTCTGATGTCTCTCTGATGTACAAGAAACAAATGTGATTTGGACTGTGACTTTCTACTTTATGAGTGTAGAGGTTTCTGGTACAGATATCAAAAGGTACCTGTTTTGAGTGGGGTCTGGAGACCCGAGTTAACTTCCAATTCTGTCCCTTACTTGCCATGTCACTTAGGTCAAGCAGTTAACTTTTGGGATCCTTCTGTTTGAGATGGGCAGTGTAACACTGGCCCTATTTGCTTATAGGATTGTTAAGCATCACACAAACATCACATCAAAGTGCTTTATACATTCTTAGGTATCCTGCGAATATCAGGCATAAAATGTCTGAGAATGGGCTTACCTTTTCTTCTTTCAGGCTGTTAGTATGGGGGTTGAGTCAGTCTGTTGGGAGTTGTGCTGGGTTTTGTTCTTGATCTGGTTACCCTCATTACATTCTGGGATTCGAATTTTAGTCGTGGCCTCCCTTTGCTTTGTGCTTGGAGTAGGGTACGGTGGCTGCCCTTCCTCCCATGCTCTGCTCAAGGTGAATCAGGCCTATTTCTCCTTGGAGGGGCCTTTCCTCCCAACAGTTCAGGCTGCTTGGCTGCCCTGTGACTTTAGCTTGGTGGGCTTGAAGTTAGGAATTGTGGTTTATTTGGCTTTTTCTCTGTGTTAGGTTGGTAGCAGAGTTTTTTCCAGTTTTCTGTATTCTAGACAGAAGCAGAAATCTGTGTACAAAGTATTTTGTTTTTGCTAAAGTGGTAGATATGCTTAGAAACACAAATTATTATATAATACCACACACACCACCACTTCCCAGCTAATAAAGTATTAGCAGTTCTCACCTACTATTTTCAGGGATAATAAAATTGTTGCTCTAGGGCTTCCCTGGTGGCGCAGTGGTTGAGAGTCCGCCTGCCGATGCAGGGGACATGGGTTCGTGCCCCGGTCCAGGAAGATCCCACATGCCGCGGAGCGGCTAGGCCCGTGAGCCATGGCCACTGAGCCTGCGCGTCCGGAGCCTGTGCTCCGCAACGGGGGAGGCCACAACAGTGAGAGGCCCGCGTACCACAAAAAAAAAAAAAAAATTGTTACTCTAGGTACAATATATATTCTAGCAAGTTCCCAGAGAATATGAATAAATGCAAACTGAGACTGTAATAAAATTAATTTTTCCTATGTTTTTTATGGTCTCATTTATTAAATAGAGAAAATCTCTTATAATACCCCGTTTACATTTTTCTTACAGGAATTTGATTCATGTCTCTGAAATACTTAACTAGTGATCCTCTTAGCATTGTAAGACTATGAAAAGCAGGTAGAACTTCTGATGAGCACCTTTGGCACCTTTGGCATATCTGCATGATCACCATCCAGCTGCCTGCTAGATGGCGGGAATGACTAGATTAAATTTTTGATTTCTTCTAACCTATGATTTGTTTATTCTAATTCTTCACATCAGGGTTTTCTACAGAGAACTTCCTTATTGTCATAGATGCGTCTTTGGCTCTTTTACCAACTTATCATTGAGAAGGAAGCTCTAGTAGTTTGCTTCTGGAGAAGGCTCATTTAATATATGAATATATATAATATGCATATCACCTTAACTAAGGTTTAGGAGGGAAGGTAGAAAACAAGCTAAAGTATATGCTTTAATTATGATGCATCAGAAATATTTTTGTATGTAGGAAGCAGTACATTTCATTGGTGACAGCTCTGAGAATGGGCTTAGACATATCGGTATAGATAATACAAATCCGTCTACTTTTAGAATCATCAGTATGCCAGAGTTGAAGCAAAATTTTTAAAATGTAGAAATATACTTGAAGAATTTGATGGTAAGTATTAAAACTTTATTTTGCCTTGTTTTGTTCTTAGGTTGTAGATATTTTCGGAATATTTCAAAACAAGATCATCAAGTCTTAAAGAAGAAAATGAAGCAGATGAAGAAATCAGTGAAAAAATACAGCATTGTAAATCCAGGACTCTGATACTGAATTTTAGTTACTTCAGATTAGTAGCTACAGAGTAGTAACTCAGTTGATAGCTTTAAATGTATTTATTTATTTGATATTTTAAGAAGGTAGCTTATTTGGCTATGAAAAGGTTATATTTATATTTTCTTTTTCTAGCGGTTGTAGCTGAAGAAACAGTCTCATTGCCTTTGCTCTTTGTAAATATATTTTTTCTTTCTTTTGTACTGTTAAATGTAACATTTATTAAGGAATAATCTCCAAATAAAAATATATTTGTTTAATCAGAGCATATAGCTCTACAGCAGTTATTGCTGTTTGCAGATAATTTGCCTCTGATAATTGTGTAATAAAATATAACTTGTGGGACTGTTAAATGAACGTGTGTATTCTTTCAGATGCTAAATGATCCATGTTAGGTTTACCACCATGAAGAACATATTGGTGATGAGTTCTGTTGAGGAAACAGAGAAGGATTTAGAAAAGAACTTCTCCTCTTTCTCTCTTGGTAGTAAGACATGGCAGTGTGGGGTTAAGTGACTTCTGGTAGAGAGCTACCTTTGACTCTGGAGGACTCATTTGGGTCAGAGAGGGTAGGAGGGGCCTGGTTGCTTTTAGCTGGCACTGGCCTAACTTTAAAGGATTCTAGCTTTGTTGGTTTTGCTTGTTTGCCTTGCACAGCATCGAAGACATGTTCCAGAACTCCTGTGTCCCTCTCCTTTCTCTTGGGAACCAGAATGCAGCAGTAGGTAGCTGGACAGTGGAGAAATAGTGTCCCAGGGTCGTCCAGGAAGCCCATTGGAAAGCTTTGCTCAGAAGCCAAGAACAACTTTCCTGGAATATCAGCTGAGCTTTCTAATATATTGTGGTAACTGGTGGAGTAAGTGCTTCTGGAAAACTGTCTTGGCTCATATACATTTACTGTTCAGATAACTAGTATTTGAGTTCCATGAAGGCTCCCTAACTTCAGAGCAAGTCCGATATTAAGATGGCAAACCACACGTTTTCCCCATTGGCTTATATTCCTACCAAATTCAAACCATCTGTCAGAAAATTAGGGGACAAATTATGCTTTGTCAGTAGTTTAATTTGATATTTTATACTTCATAAATAAATATCAACAAATAACTACCCAACTTTATAATATTTGTGTGAAACAAGTAGTTGCCCCACAGAACCAAAGTAAAGCAAGTGAAAACTACCAATGAATAGGGTCAGCTTCACCACTGGGAGTCCATGCTTGGGTGGTAAAGGAGTTCCGTATAAGATCAACACTATAAGGGTGAAATTCCCAGAGGATGTGGACAAAATCTCAAAGCCTAAGCCAAGATCGTCAGGGCATCTACTCCCTGAAACCTATAGTCAAAAACCCTAAAATAGGATTTATGAATTCTCATGATCCCTAGCAGAATGGAGCTGAGAATGAGGGAGAAAATGGTTATCAAATGTTTGTATCTAATTGTGCAATAAGAGCAATGTGAAATTTTTTCCAACTGTGAAATGTTTTTAAGCCCACTGAAAGCTAGTTTCATGAGTCATAATGCCTAAAATTTATCAAGAACTTTGGGCTTTACATTTCGTCATCTCATCACTGCAGTCCTATGAATTATCCCTATCTTAACAAGAAAGAAAGTGGTGTCTTCAGAGATTAAGTCACTTGCCCAGGGTCACGGCTGGTAGGTGCTGGCTCCAGGACTATAACCCGATCAGTGTGGTTCCAGAGGTCACACTCTGTGCTATGTGTACTGCCTTCCAGTTGAGTCATGTTTATAACCTGTAGCGCCCTGAGCTAGGGAGCAGAAAAAGAATAGAGGGGATCCATCACCCATCCTTTCTCCTGGGCATGCAAGGTTCCCTCTCTGTGTCCTCACTGATCCCTCCCCATACAGACTTGTGAAATCACCACATTGTTTAATGGTCTTTGTACATCTGTCTTTCTCAGTAGTATATTACCTAGCCTTAATAATCTCCATATCACCAACACCTAACAGAATTTATGGCTTATTAAATATTGAGTAGAACTGAATGAAAATTTATGAAAGCTATGGACTGAGTGCACCTGTCCCATAGGCAGTAATAATCTTGGTGAATTTCTGCCAAGGGTAGGGCCTCAGGAGACTGTTAGGTTTGAAACCTGGGTTTATCATAAGCTTTCATTGTTTCTTTAGCTGCAGAATGGAGACAAGTAAAATTGCTGTACTTTCTTTTTTATTTATTTTAATATTTATTTATTTATTTTGGTTGTGCTGTGTCTTAGTTGCAGCATGCAGGATCTTTAGTTGCCATATGCGGGCTTCTTAGTTGTGGCATGTGGACTCTTAGTTGCGGCATGCATGTGGGATCTAGCTCCCTGACCAGGGATCGAACCTGGGCTGCCTGCATTGGGAGTGCAGAGTCTTACCCACTGGACCACCAGGGAAGTTCGTGTACTTTCTTTTAAAAAATATATTTTTATACATCATGATGGAATGAGAAAAATCTGGGATGTAATTCAGAACACCTAAATTTTCTTGCCATCTTTTACAGTCACCTAAAGCGTGACCCTAAATGTTTCATGAAACCTCTCAGACTTAAGCCACTTGTCTATACATTGGTAATGGCATATCTACCTTGTTTAGCTAATAGAATTATTGTGAAGATCACATGAGATGAAGTGAGAAAGTACTTCATAAACTATAGTACATAATACAAATGAGAAGAATTGTTAATACTTTCCCTAAGCTCAAACGCGCCTGCTCATTTTCAGACTGTGAGAGAAGGCAGGTAGATGCCAGAGAAATCAGTAAACTATATGCAAGGCTACTGAGCTGGAGCATTTCTTTTTATATTTTTTCTATTTTATTCCATGACCTGATTCTAGGATAAACACCAGACTCTTAACCTCTCAATATCGTTTTTAACATCTTTATTGGAGTATAATTGCTTTACAATGGTGTGTTAGTTTCTGCTGTATAACAAAGTGAATCAGTTATACATATACATATGTTCCCATATCTCTTCCCTCTTGCGTCTCCCTCCCTCCCACCCTTTCTATCCCACCCCTCCAGGCGGTCACAAAGCACCGAGCTGATCTCCCTGTGCTATGCGGCTGCTTCCCACTAGCTATCTACCTTTGGTAGTGTATATATGTCCATGCCTCTCTCTCGCTTTGTCACAGCTTACCCTGCCCCCTCCCCATATCCTCAAGTCCATTCTCTAGTAGGTCTGTGTCTTTATTCTCGTCTTACCCCTAGCTTCTTCATGACATTTTTTTCCCCTTAAATTCCATATATATGTGTTAGCATACGGTATTTGTCTTTCTCTTTCTGACTTACTTCACTCTGTATGACAGACTCTAGGTCTATCCACCTCATTACAAATAGCTCAATTTCGTTTCTTTGTATGGCCGAGTGGCACATATATACAATGGAATATTACTCAGTCAATAACGTTTTTAAAAGGCACTTGCTGGGCTTCCCTGGTGGTGCAGTGGTTAAGAATCCGCCTGCCAATGCAGGGGACACAGGTTCAAACCCTGGCCCGGGAAGATCCCGCATGCCACAGAGCAACTAAGCCCGTGCACCACAACTACTGAAGTCTGTGTGCCCTAGAGCCCACGAGCCACAACTACTGAGCCTGTGCTCTAGATCCCATGAGCCACAACTACTGAGCCTGCATGCCACAACTACTGAAGCCCATGTGCCTAGAGCCCATGCTCTGCAACAAGAGAAGCCACCACAATAAGAAGCCTGTGCACCGCAATGAAGAGTAGCCCCCACTCGCCGCAACTAGAGAAAGCCCGCGTGCAGCAACGAAGACACAATGCAGCCAAAAATAAATAGATTTATTAAAAAAAAAAAAAAAAGGCACTTGCCATAGGAAACAACGTGTGTGTGTGTGTGTAACTGCTATGGGATGAATTGTGTGTCCCCCAAAAGATGCATTGAAATCCTAACCCCCAGTACCTCAGAATGTGACTTTATTTGGAGATTGGATCTTTATAGAGGTAATCAAGTTAAAGTAAGACCATTAAAGTGAATGCTAATCTGACTGATGTCTTTATAAAAGGGGAAATTTGGACACAGACATGCACACAGGGAGAAAGTTGTATGAACACAACGACAGATATTGGGGTGATGTATCTACAAGCTAAGGAATGCAAAACATTGCTGGTAAACCCTGAAAAGCTAGGGGAGGGACGGGGGCCAGATTCTCCCTCCTGGCCCTCAGAAGGAACCCACCCTGCTGACACCTTGATCTCAGACTTCCAGCCTCCAGAACTGTGAGACAATAAATGTCTGTTATTGAAGCCTCGCAATTTGTGGTACTTGGTTACGGCAGCCCTAGCAAATTAATACAATAATTTTTAAAGAAAATATCATGCCTACTTCAAAAGTGAGAGCTAAAGTGATTTCAGATACTCAGTCTTGGCCCAGCTGGTGGTTCCAGGTTTATCTCCTAAGCTCACCTCACAGTCCGTTCTTCCCCATCTGTACCTTATCTCAATACCCTGATCAACCTTCATTAAGACTTTTTTCTTTGTCCCCTCCAGCCTGATGTCATCTCTCCTTCCTTGGAATCCACTGACAGTTTGTTCCTTCCTTATTATCTTAATGTAATCTGCCTTGTATTATTTGGAAATTTATTTTAACTTTTCTTCTCAGAGCATAAATTTCTTGAAAAAGTTTGTTTCGTACATCAGTTTTCTGTTCAACATTCCTCTTCCAGCATAATGCTTTGCACATGCTCATACAAACCTACTGAACTGACATTGAGACATCTATTATAAAATTAATTACTGCATAATTATTATATAACCACATGTATTATGGTATTATATCTAAAATATTATTCAGTCCCATCTGAAATATTACATATTTTAATAATGAGAAATTCATGCTGTCATTACATCTGATGGGACCTGCAAGCCAACCTCTCCCTGCTAATTTTGTAATCACTCTGCCCAAAGCAATAAGATCTGATTTACATGTCCTGGGTAGGTAGGAAGATTTGTGTTTTCATATGTCCAAGTTTATTTTTTTAATGCCGAGTTCTAATTCTATAAACAGAATCATTTAGAATTATTTTCCAAAAAGGAGGCATTCCTTTGGACTCAATTTTCTTTTTTCATGGCAAAGGAAAACTGAGACAAACGTTAGTACAATCAAAAAGTACTTTCAGGTCCTACACGGAACAAGAGAATGCACTCATTCTTACACGTCGCAGGGTAAACGGTCACCTCCCATTTCTGAGAAGGCCTCAGGAATTTCTGAGAAGGCCCAGGAACCCCATGGAATCAGCACAGCCACCAATGAATTACTGATGCTGTATTATGTTTTAAAAAGCAACATTCAATGAGGTATGATGTGGAACAGTACCCCCAGGAGAGCAGGGCTGTTTGGGGATCATTCTAAGGACTCCCTCCCCTTGACTTTTCTCTTAGTTACAAAAACGTTGTTTGTATTTTAAAAGCTACTTTGGGCTTTCATAATCCAGAGCATCATGAGCACAGCCTTGGCTAGATTGAGGCTCAGTGTCCCTTCTTTGTGACGCTCTGGCAAAGGCTCTTGGTGGTGGTGGTGATGGGGAGCCAGTGAGAAGAATCTTTGACTTTGTCAGCATTTCAAAGGGCAGTTTTTGCCAGTAGGGACATTTCAGGCTGGAGTGAAACTGTGGAAAATACCCAAAGGAAAGTGAGCTCAGGTACCAAATGTTCCCTGTGAGCCTGATCCCCTGTTCGTGCCTGTGTTTGGGTTTGGGTTTGGGGCTGTGTGAGTTTGGGGTGCCGTGTCCTTTATCACTCATTCAAGAAATATTTATCGAAGGCCCGTTATGTGCCAGGGACATGTATAAAGCAAAACATGTATTAGTATTCTTCAGTACTAATGTTGAAACATATGCTAAGTGAGGAGGGATGCCCCCAAAGCAAGTATAGATTTGGCAAAAATAAAGAACCCAGATGTTCTGTGCTTCCTGATGAAACTGTCCTTAAAAGTCCTTGCCGATGCTGTGTTTTCACCAGGCCACCCTCCCTCCTTTTCCTTCACCGTCTCTTTTTTTTTTTTCTTTTCTTTCAGTTTTATTGTGTTACAGCACTGTATAAGTTTAAGGTGTACAGCATAATGACTTGACTTCCATATATCATGAAATGATTACCACAGTAAGTCTGGTGATGATCTATCATCTCACATAGATACAAAATTAAGGAAATAGAAAAAAAGCTTTTTCCTTGTGATGAGAACTCAGGATTTACTCTCTTAACTTTCATATGAAACATACAGCAGTGTGAACGATATTTATCATGTTGTACATACATCCCTAGTACTTAATTAGCTTATAACATAACATAAGGAGGAAGTTTGTACCTTTTGACGGCCTTCATCCAATTCCTCACACCCCGCCCCCGCCAGTAACCATGAATCTGATTTCTTTTTCTATAAGTTTGTTTGTTTCTGAAGTGTAATTGACCCACAACACTATGTTAGTTCCTTTTACACAATGTAGGGATTCGCTATTTCCATACATTTCAGAACGATCACCAAGATAGTTACGATTTGCCGTCTCCTCTTGACTCGTGAGATGTCCCCTCAGAATACGCACCCTTCCGGATGGCAGGAACTGCATCATCCACTGCCTCCCACATCCCCCCTCTGTCTTCCCAGACCCACACCCGTGTTCCCGTGTTGCTGCTGGCACGGCATCGCCTTCCAATCTGCTGTCTGGGACCGCGTAACGTGTGACGTTCTCCTTGGAGATCCTGGGCTGCTCAGCTTGTGAAGGGCTATAAACAAAGTGGGGATTTCCTGCAGGAATTCTTTGCAGTTTTAATAAACCATGGCACATCTACTGTGGACATCACCGCACCTTTCTGCCAGCACCCCAGTAGCTCCGCAGTCAGGGCAGGCCTTGTACCAGCTTCCTGTTTAGGGGACTGGAGGGGCAGGGCCACCTCTCACTGCTTTCACAAGAGACAGCTACCCAGCTCCCAGAAGGGACACGGCTCAGAAACTGCCTCAGTGAACCTGGTGATGGGGGGGTGGGGAAAGAAGGAAGGAAGAAAAAGTCAGCGCAGGAGGGAGGGAGGGAGGGAGGGAGGGAAACTGCAGAGAGCAGGAAGCCAGCCTGAGCACACAGCAGCTGGAGAATGCCAGGACCAGGATGCTCAGGAGGTCCATTCCCAGGGGTGGTCGGAGTTGGCAGGCCCCCTGGCTCCTTACCTCTTCTCGAATTTTCTGCCTCTGCCTCATGGTCTTGTTGGGCCAGGGGTCTTGCTTCAGGGGCACCCCCAGTGCCTGGATTATGGGCCCTCCTTCCAGCCCCTCCTGCACTTCGAGTTTTGCTCTATGAGTCCTTTGGCTGTTGTGACCAGTGTAAGGACCACTGCATTGCTGCCCGGTACTGGGACATCATGGAATACTTTGATCTGAAGGGCCACGACCTGTGCAGCGGTTACATTAAAGACATCCTTTGCCAGTAGGTCTGAGCGGAACCCTCTGGGAAAGTGAGGGAGCCACCTTAGAAGAGTGCCTCCCAGCCCCAGCTGATGGGGTGCTGGGCTGGCCGGTGGGGGTCCTGGCAGGGAGGGCTCTTTGGGTGCCCAGACCTTTAGAAGCTTGCTCACCTGCCAGCTGCCTCCACCTGGGGCTTTGGGCTCTAGACAGACACACTGAGGCGGAGTTTGGTTTCCACAGGTTTCCCAAAGCTCTCCCTCTGGGGTTCTGCGGGCCCTGATGCTTTCTCAGGCCCCAGAAGAATGCGATTGGTATTCTTCATGGAGCTGTCTGGGCAGCCGTGGTCTGGGTCCTCCCTGCAGGGCTCTGAGAGCTGGGCACAGCACACACCTGTGGTGCTCACAGAGCACATGGGGGGGAGTGGTGGCATCCGTGGGGATGCAGCCCTCGTCCGGGTCATTTGTGCCAGGGGGTCTCTGTTGTGATGATGGGGGCTCTCCCCAGCTTTCCAGACCTGGCCTAGGAGAGCTTCAAGCTGCTGAGTGGCAATGACTCAGAGATTCTGCTTCTCCTGGCTCTCCAGTAGCCAAAACCCACATCCTTGGCAGACATCACCTCCGCAGGGCTCAGCCCGAACCCACACTGGATGCAGACTGCACACACTGACTTTGTGGGAAGAGGGCTTCAGGGGTACAGAGGAGAGTCCGTGTTGGAGAGCAGGTGAAAGAGGTTGCCGTGAGGAGGAGTGTTCTCATGATGTGCTGGGGGTGAGACACAGCAAATCCAGGCAGACCTATGATCTAAGGCCCGCCTGGGCATGTCAGCACAATTACTTGGCTCTCCTGCTGTGATTCCAGAGCCAACGGGCCACCCCAACTCCCAGTGAAGGGAACATAGCAGAGCCTGGCACAGAAGCCAGCCACCTGTGAGGCATCGCTCCGGGCTGTCCTCTCTTACCTCGGGTTCCACCCCTTGGCTGCTTCCTGGAGAATTAACTCTGGGAAAACCATCTGGGCAGAAGCTGGTCTCTTATGAGCAACACTGAGACTCTTAATTTCTGAGATATTCCCCTGATAAAAATGTCTCTTCCCTCCCTCTCTCCTGCCTCCCCCTTCCTTTTTGGGTGAGGTTTCAGAAAGCCAAATTCAACAGCTCTCCTGCCTTAAGGATTTGAGGAATAAGAATAACCTACACATGTCTATAATGGGAAAGAATATAAAAAAGAATATATATATGTATAACTGAATCACTTTGCTGTACAGCAGAAATTAACACAACATTGTAAATCAACTACACTTCAGTAAAATTAAAAACAAAACCAAAAGTGAAACAAAAAAGAATAAGCTACAAGTGTCTATTTATTAAAATTCACAACTTTATTCTCCCTCTTTCTTCCCCCCCACGCGTGGTGTGTTCCCAGCAATGATCCTGTAGGCAGCTGCTAGGACCCCCATTTTACTGATGAGGAATCAGGAGTTTTAAAGCACTTACTGAAGGTCAAACAGTGTCGGGGCACAAATCCAGAGGCTCAGGCTCCAAGTCTCGTGCCCTTTTGATCACACCACGCCAAAGTAGAATCACAACAGCCCTGGCCCATCCACTCGATGGTTCTGTGACCTGGGGCAAGCGTAAGGTCCATTAGAACAGAGCCTTTGTGCACCTTGCTCACTGTCATAGCCCCCGTGCAGAGGACAGTGCTTGGCACACAGTAGAGACTCTTCCTGGGCCTTCATTTTCTTTTTTTTTTTTCTTTTTCTTTTTTTTTGCGGTACGCGGGCCTCTCACTGTAGTGGCCTCTCGCGTTGCGTAGCACAGGCTCCGGATGCGCAGGCTCAGCAGCCGTGGCTCACGGGCCCAGCCGCTCTGTGGCATGTGGGATCTTCCCGGACCGGGGCACGAACCCGTGTCCCCTGCATCGGCAGGTGGACTCTCAACCACTGCGCCACCAGGAAAGCCCGGGCCTTCATTTTCTAAGACAGAGAAATGACAGTTACTGAGCTGATTGAGTAAAGGCAACTGTGCAAACTCTAAATTGCTGCATAAGAGTGTGCCATGGTAGTGATTATATGTCCACAGCCTCCTTTGCTCCTGGGTATTTCATCCTTATTTTTGTCTTCCATCTCTCTTTCTACTCCCCAGGGGTGGACAGCTCAGTCAGGGACTCA